AGATACATTTCTGCTGATGTGATTGTAGAGTCCAGTATTGAAAAAAAAAAACATGAGGATATGCAGAAAATGAAGGGGCTGGTTTCTTGGGCCACAGATTGAAGCAATGAGGTATCTCTCAGCCCCACAGCTCATGAATTCCTTGGTCACATAATAGTTTAGAATAGAGAGAACATCTGCCATGAAGGGTTGGAACCACAAACTGGACAAGAGTGCCGTGGTGATTTGAACAGGAATGGCCCCCATAGACTCATGTGTTTGAGTGATTGGCCCATTGATGATGACGCTATTAGGAGAGGTAGCCTTGTTGGAGGAAGTGTGTCACTGTTAGGGAAGGCTTAGAAGTTTCCTATGCTCAAGCTATGCGCAGTGTGGCACACAGTCTCTCCTTGCTACCTGCAAATCAAGATGGAGAACTCTCAGCTCCTTTTCTGGCATCATGTCTACCAGCATGCTGCCATATTTCCCTCCATGAAAAATAATGGACTAAACCTCTGAAACTATAAGCCAGCACAAATTAAATGTTGTCCTTCATAAGAGTTGCCATGGTCATGGTGTTTCTTTACAGCAATAAAACCCAAACTAAGACAAGTGTACTGGATGAGCTACAGTGAAACAGCAGCAGAACTTGCTGTTTGAAGGAGGCAAGAGCAGCCATGGCTGTGCCTTTCTAGAAGAAACAAAACCACCAAGGAGGTCCATCTTTAGTGCCAGGGTATGGGTACCCAAGACTTCTGGGAACTGGAACAATGGAAGCAAGAGAAATCTTCAGGTCATTCTACAGACTCTCTGATACTGGGGCCTGCACACCCTCCAGAAACTCAGGCTGGGCTAGTTGGGAGCATCTCCTCATACAGGATTCATTAATGTATCTTGTGATTCTGAAGCATCTAACTACAGACTTATATTATACAGGCTCTGAGAGCCTAGCTAGTCCCAGACACTGGAACCACAGTGTCCCCCATTAAACTTGTTGAGTAGGTAAAGGACTGTGAACTCCTGCTCTCCATAGGAGCTGGCCATGAGAGTAACGCAGGAGGGAGATGGACATTGTAGGGGGATAAGATCTTCAGAGGAGCCAGATTTGCAGTGCATTTCAATGAAACAGCTCTGTTATTACAGGGAGGCGGATGTAGATGTAAAATCATGACTGGAATGGGGTCCCAAAATACAGACTCAGGAAATGCTAAGTTTGAAAGCAGAGAGTAGTTTTCAGGGTGCTTGACACATTTATTTTATCAATGTCACATTTCTCAGAGTTACATCCAATTCTCCTCCTGTGATATCCTCCACATACATTTACTTAGAGGAGACCACGTGGTATTTCCAGTGATGGCTTTCCACAGCCTCTGGTACATACCAACATTTACCCTGGGCTGTTTACTGAAAGGGCTGCTAACACAGTGACTCTGAGCTTTAAGAGAGGATTGCTGGTATCCTAGAAGGACCTTAGGAGTCATTCTGTGCCTTCTACATGGGGCTAAATGTGATGCATGAATGGCGGACTTGCCTTGGTCCAATCTGTTGCCTTCTGGCTCTTGTAACCTCTGCCTCATGAGTTCAAGTTCTATGACTTTGCCCTGTCCCAGCAAACTTTCCACCTACTCCACGTGGGATCCACCTTTCTGTCTGAGAAAGGTCCCAATATTCTATTTCCTGTCAGTGACACACTGGAAACAGACTTGGGCCTACAGATCTATCATACCACTGGACTAACTTCCTCCTAACTGGTTAAATGCTGTAGCCTATGGGCTCCTGTTTCTCCCTCTCCTCATGCATGGCAAGTCTCTTAAGGGAGATATAGGGAACCTTTGTTAAAACTGGTAAGATCTACAGACTCGGGGTCTGAGACTACAGAGAGGAAGTAACTCACAGAGGTGTCAGAAGAAATAGTTAGAAATGTGTGTCTTGAAATTCCCTCACTAGGGCCTGTGAAATGACTTGGCAAGTAATTGTGCCTGCCTCCAAACTGGTGGTCAGAGTTCAACCCCAAGAACCCGCACTGTGGAAAGAGATAACTGACTCCAAATTCCCTGACCAAAGTACATAGACCAAAATACACACCCAAAGACACAGAGTAGCCATCTGCCAAGCAAAGGATACCTGAGGAGGTCACCCACACTGAGGAGCCAGCCCAGAGTTAGGGGATCTGACTTAGGCTGGACCTGCAAGTCAGAGGATAAAGGAGCAGATGGATCTTTTCCCTCAGTGTTTTTGTAGCTGTAGCTGCTACTGGACTTTTGGATAATAATATAATACATTCATGTTGTCAAATATTTGTCAGTGTGCCAAGTCCTAGGATAGAACAGATTGGCATCCTTCAACAGGGCACTGTACACAGTTATTAGGGTATACAGAAGTTCCTGGTGCACCCACCATGCCTCAGTTTACCTTAGCAGTCCCTGAGTTCACTTCACCATGCACATAACCTGGGGAAAGGCAGGTTGGGTTTCAGTGCAAATGGCATGTCTGCTCGGAGCCTGTCAGCAACTTTAAGGTCCTTATCAGAAGTTAAGCCAGAATGGCTCAGAGTCTGTATATGCCCAGAGTGTGTGCTGTAGTTGATGATCCCGACCCACTCACACATCTTCCTGGGCCTCTCCAACCTGATAGGGTAAACTTCATTGACATATTCCTAAGCCTTCCCAGTCCAAACCACTGAACTCACCTCACCTCTGACCCCTGCTGTGGGTCACCAGACTCTGGAAGGTCTCCAGGGTTCTCCATGCAGCAAGATCTGCCTGACTCACTCATGCTACTGATTAGGCCATTCTCTGTTTGGATTCCTGGACTTAGAGTCAGTGACAATTGTAAGAAGGATGGAGTTGCATCCTATCCCCTCTTGCATCTCACCCTATTCTGCAACATACTTGGGAACATCAAATTGTCAGAGCCTGTAGAGGATGACCAGGATTACTTAGAGCAGATGCATTAGCTGAATGCTTTGTGTCACACCTGTGAACCCAGAACCTAAGAAGCTGAGATAGCAGGCCAGACTGGACTATAGATAGTATTCTGTCTCAAAATCTAAAATGAAATGCAGAAAAAGAAGAAATGTGTTCACCAAATTTGAGTTCTGCCAATGGTTCCTGTTCTAGAGTATGGCCTTTTAGCTAATAGCCAGAAGGACATTTTACCTGATCACACAAGATTTCATTGATTTTCTTAGAAGAAAAAGGTTTGTGGTCATAGTCAGGCTCTAAGTAGGACAGTTTCAGTGTTTGTTGTCTGTTACAATAACTGTCCAGCATCAGAGGTTAGTGCCATCAGTAAATATATGGACAAAGTTGCTGTGTGGTAAGGTAAGCCTTTGCTTGTAGGCAGTAAGTCACAGGAGACAGGATGAACATTTGGGCTCAGAGAGATGTTGAAAACTGCTCTTTGGTGACCTTGGCATCATTCATAAATGTGGCACCCAAGATGCTGATTCACATGGATCAGATCGGAGAAGGCAGCAACAGAAGGGTCACCAGGCCAATTTGGGTCTTTTAACTTTTCTAGTTACAACTCATCAAGTATGTCAGCTTCTGCAGTGTCAGAAAGTGGTGCAGGGAGTGCTTGGAGGTGAGAGCTGATAGAACTAACACACACACACACACACACACACACACACACACAGAGAGAGAGAGAGAGAGAGAGAGAGAGAGAGAGAGAGAGAGACAGACAGACAGACAGACAGAGACAGAGAGAGAGCAAGAGAAGGAGGGTTTTACTGAGAACTTGTGTACTCTTAGGCACAGAAAATCAGGACTCCTCATGCACAGCATCCAAAGCACGACTTTTTCAGAGGTAAAGAAGAGTTAACAAAGCCGCAGTAGCCAATTGCTTATCTTTACCCAATTTCAACACTTGGAGCATACAGGATTGTTAGGTCATTGGCTGGTTTTCCAATCGCTTCATTTCCCGATCCTTGCTACAAAAGGTTGGAAGTTTTACTTGCAGGACATAGCTGTGATTTTTCCCAGCAGCTATCTTGTGAGTCCTGGCACAGACAATAGTGATGATGATAATGATATGTGTGTGTGTGTGTTGTGTATGTACATACCTGGCTTTTTGTGTGTCCATGACTGTCTGTGTGTTAGTGTCTGTGTATGAGTCTGTATGCATGTGTGGATCTATATGTGTGTCTCTGTGTTTGTGTGTGTTGGGGTTGTTGTGTCAATGTTTATGTATAAATCTTTGTGTCTGTGTGTCTGTGTGAATCTGTCTGACTGTGTGTCAGTCTGTCTCTGTCTCTGTCTCTCCCTCTCTCCCATTTGCAGGATTCATGCAATAAACTGAAGGCCAACTCCAGGACATTAATAAAGTGCTGCTTTTTGTGATGTCTCTTCCACACTAGGAGGGGTGGGGAGAGAGAGAGAGAGAGAGAGAGAGAGAGAGAGAGAGAGAGAGAGAG